GTGATCCATTGCTAAATCCAAGTTCTATTATTTGTTGAACCAGAGTTTTTTTCAAAACCCGATCGGTCGATCCAGTTCAGGTTTCAGAACGCAGCTCAAGATGTTATGAACATGTCACACATTCCTATGGGTTTGGACTAAGGGATATCCAGTTCAACGTTTTATTTGTTTGTATAATATAAAAATCAAGATATAGGTTCAAATCTAGCTGTGAACTTTATGCAAACTGTTAGTAAATTAAGAATAACATTTATCCTAATTCAAACCCAAGATCATATCAAAAATCATTATTGCAATCACATTATGATAAATGAACTGTAATAATAGTTAAATATTGTATAAATATCTCTTATAAATACCCAATTAGTTCTTTAAATCACACGTATTGTTAGAATGCAATCAGAGAATATTGTTCACTGATTTATGAAAAAGGAAGAGAGAACAATGTTTGTGTATTGTAATTTTTTCTTCAAACTTCCCTTCAACTTACATATGATTGATTAGGGAAGTTGTGTGTGGTAACTGCCAATTAATATTGTATACAGATGGGTCCCATCGTGGGTGTCCCACTCAAATCCAGTACAAACTTTACCTCTTCCCTGGCAACTCTTCTATGGTTCTTCATTGTAAATGCAATCGGGACTTCAAAGGAAAATCCTTATCTTCTCTTTGGATGTCAAGGTAAATTTCTAACATTAATGTAGTGTATTAAATTCCGACGATATGAAAAAACTTATTAAATAAAAAAACAAATTAACACATTATGATAGATTAAATGTATAAATTCATTATAAATAATCAACTTCAAATAGAAGTTATGAGGTCATTATTAAAGTTTTTTTTCAATTTTCTTTATTTTTATATGAATAGATTTACATGGTACATGTGAAATGAAAAAAGAAAATGTTATATAATAAGTTTTAGTAATTATAAAAGTATATAATAAATATTTTTTTCAAATTAAAAAAGTATGTTGAAGACGAGCCAGTAGGGGTAGTATTGGCTGCAGTCTTCAAAGAAACGACACCAATACTAAATCATTAGAATAACTTCAAAATGTAGAGAATTTGGGAGGGAGGCTATGCATTAGCGAGAAGACTGATGTGAACTGTGTTAATGTATGGGTGATGAAAGAGTATGGAAAGGGAGAGTCTTGGTATAAATTGCACTCGTTTAAGATAATGGTTCATCTGAAACTTGCTGCCAAGCTACATGAAATAGATTTCCAGAAATCCGCAGAAAAATTGTAGCTAACTATCCCAAGTGATTAGCGAAATTATTCTGATTAAGACGAGCTTCTAAGTATAACCATCATCTCAGAAATTGAATGAATCCATCAGGAAAGTGTTTTGAAAATGATTTCAACAGAAAACTAATGCCCACCATAAGAAAAGTTGAAAAAAGATTATGATTCTCCCACATCGCTGTGTTAGAGTTTGAGTTTAACCTTTATACATAATTTGGACTACCCACGTTCTTAGCTCAAGTTATCAAGTTGAAACTCAAAAAATTCAAACACTTAATAATTTGAGATTTTTTGAATAATTATAATTTTCATAATCAAGTTTTTTCATTTTTTTATTATTATAATTAAGTTTATATCCTTCTTTACATTCCATTTTATTTTCATGTAAATAACTATAGGTAATTAAACATTTATCTTATTCTTTGAGTTTTTATTTATTCTTCTCCTCATTTTATCTTATTCTTTGAGATTGTAGGCAAATTTCAGTACTCTAAAATGTCACAGCTGTTTGAAGAATTATTAGCACAAATCCTTGTGAAACTACCCATCAAATCCCTTCTTCTTTGTCGATGTGTATCAAAATCATGGCGTGCTCTGATCGATAGCCAAGATTTCATTGACAGGCATCTACAACAATCCATTAAAGCCAGCCGCCTTCATCTCATCTCATCCTCGCCGCCGGCACCAACTCCAATCTCTGCGGTTACTCGGCAGATTTTGATAATCAGGTTCTATTCACATTAAAATCCGATTATGATATATTGGGTTCATGCAACGGGCTGCTTCGTCTTCGCAACTTGTCAAGTTTTCATTTTAATCTTAAGTTATGGAACCCATTTACAATGATGTGGAAATATTTACCAGCTGCACCTGCAGGATTTGAGAAATTATTTTATGGCTGTAAACGGGTGGCTTACTCTGGATTTGGCCATGAGAATGTGAATAACGAGTACAAGATTGTGAAAATCTTTCGACTCTTCAACTCAAACGATGGCTTCCAACGTAACCCTATTGCGAGTGAAGTCCATGTTTACAGTTCAAAGTCCAATTCATGGAGAAGGGTTCAAGATTTCCCTTACGACGAATATCTGTATGGAGATCAGAGAGGGAGTTGCTTCGTAAGTGGAGGGAGCATCACACTGGTCAATGTACACGTTTAATGGCGAAAAATTAGAATGGTCAGTGGTTGCTTTCGATCACAGGGTTGAAGAATTTAGAATTGCACCATGTCCGAGGAGTGAAGCAGAACATATTCATCTAGAGAACGTGAAAGGGAGGCTATGTATTTGCGAGGAGATTTACTTGAGTTATGTGGAAATTCATGGCAGAAATTGCATTGGTTAAAGCTACTGGAGTTTGGTAAGTGGCTTCTTGAAAATCTGAATCCATTAGCAATAACTGAAAATGGAGACAAACTTTTAGCGCAATCTGGTAAAAACTGTCTTGCATGGTATAATCTCAAGGAGTAAAAGAACTGCCTATATAGATTTCAAGACAGCTGCAGCTGCAAGTATTTCACAATGAAATTTGAGGATCCATATCTATCAAACTTAGTAGAACATATATATTTTACAGTGAAAGATTATAAATAAGGTATTACAGAAAGCTAACCACAACAACAATCTCCATTAATTAAGGTAAACACGTGTTAAATTACAAGTATGAGAAAACATCATGCAAATGATTCTACTAGATTTAGTCAACAAACTTTTGCACCAAACTTCCACCTAATGTACTGGTTTTTGTTCGGTCGAAAGCTCAATGAGTACTACCTGGAAGCTATAAACACCACTTTTTTCTGTGAATTGCTTTGATTGAAAATACTTTGAGTCCATGTATCCAACGTCCCCTTAACTACTTTTGTGGTCGCATGAGTTTGATCAATCTATGGATTTTGAATTCCCAAAATCTGCTACCTTTGCTCTATACTTATCATCTAAGAGTGTATTTGCAGACTTGAAGTCTTGATAGTAGATGGGCATGGAAGGTGTCGAGTGCAAGTAAAAAAGAGCGTCTACAAATTTTGTGACAATTCTTAAGCGCATATCCCATGTGAGTGCAAGAAACTATTCTTTTGGATCATGAACATATTCGGAAAGAGTGCCATTGGGAATATGATTGTTATTAAATAATCAATTATTATATTAGTAACCACGAATAATAAATATATTAAATATAAAAATAATATAACTAAATGTTAATAAATTAAAATAATAATACAATAAAATTAACAATACCAATAACATGATCACGTGTAAAAAATTTTTCAAAATGATAGGAAGAGATCCGATAAAGAATACAACTTTAGGATGAATGTCGAGGCTTGTGTAACACATAATTTCCTTAAAACATATTCGCCTTTTTTACTGGATTGCACAAGGATTTGAATAGCGTTTGATTCCCAAGATACAACAACAGATGAAAAGCAATAGAAACACCACATTTCTATTCTAACGAACTGAATTAAGTCTTAACTCCAACAAACAAACAAAAAAAAAAAAAAAAAAAAAAACCTTAAAAAACTAGAGAGAAAATAAGAAATTAAAACAACTCTCAATTTTTTTGTGTTCAAAATGGGAAAAAAATACTTTTTTACACTACTCAAGATAGGACAAACATTGAATTCTACCGTTTATTTTCCACCTTTTCACTTTTCTAACTTTATGACCTTCTCCATTAATTCATTAACTTTTCATCTTTCAAATTCTTAACTTACACCCTCACATTTAATTTCATTAAATTTATTTAATATATCCCAACAATGATATCATAACCCAACAAAGGAACCTCGGTCTCCAAAAACTACCCTAATAGCTCAGGAACATTCCTATGTTTAATTTTTTGAGAGAATCACAAACCTCGTTAACGAATTCTTGAAGCTTTCCGGCATCATCACTAGGATTACAAATTACTTTTCCAAGTCAACCAAAGTCTATTAATTATTTCCATTTTGACTAGGATTACAATTTATTTTTCCAAGTCAACCCAACTCTAATGCCTAGGTAAACCGAAGTCTCTAATACCCTTTTACCTAGGATTAAAAATTTTCCAACATTTTATCCGGTTGTCCTATGAAACTTTTTTTTTTTTTTTTTTTTTTCATGTTCTTTTAGCCAGTTGAATGTGAGGACTCCAACTTAGACTTTTGGTTTTTTAACATGCTAAGTCATTATCCTACGTAAAAGCTTATATTAGTGGGTGAAGACTCAACATTATATTAGTCTAATACTAATGAAATTTAAGTACTCAAAAAATTAATATATGAAGCATGTGAAAATGAATAATGGATTACCCCACTGTGCCCTCCCCTGTTCAAAGAAAGCCTCCACCCAGCCAGCCGACTCCTCGCTCAGCACACGTATCAGTTGCGCATGCGCGAGTCTCCTTGCGGGGCGGGGCGACCTCTATCAATTTTTTAGTCCCTATCCCCGATTCTTTCAAGGAATCCCCATACCGCAAGAGGCAGGGCAGGGTTGCGAGGGGAAAACGCCCATCTCTAAATGATAGCAACATTGGTGCAAAAGTTGATGAGAGCTCAGGCCCACACATGGACTAATTAATCATTCAAGTATGCCGGCTGGTCGAATATGTGGTTGTGGTTCTAGGAATAACTTGGATAGAAAAATCATAAAGATGGAATCTAAGAAGATACAAGGAATTATCATCCTTTTTCCTCTAACTTAATATTCTAACAAGGAAGACCTCGTTTTACATCCTCGAAGTCAATAATTAAGAATCAAAATAGAGGAAGAAGGTGTGAGAGACTGAAGAATGATTCTGCAGTTGCTGTTTCAGATCATCTTTCTATCATGGCCAATGATCTCGAGGACACAAGCACAAGCATCAGTAAAGCCTGGTTGTCCATCCAAATGTGGAAACGTTACCATTCCATTTCCATTTGGCATACGAGAGGGTTGTTACATTGATGATTGGTTTGCCATAGACTGCGACTCTAGTAATAAGCCATTCATCAAGAGAATCCAATACTTGGAGGTGCTTGAAATTTTTCTAAACGGTACCATGCGAGTAAATCATCCAGTATTAAGCACTTGTTCTGACGAAAATGATTATTTTACTTTGCCACATGGTAACTTGCATGCTGAAAGCCCTTTTGTCTTCTCTCAAAAAAGCAACAGATTCACCGCCTTAGGTTGCAACAACATTGCCTATATGAGAGTCTCTGAATTTTCGATTGTTGGTGGGTGCTTTTCTATTTGTGACAAGAAGACCAAAACCGGAGAGAATGGTTGTTACGGCATAAACTGTTGCCAAACCAAAATTCCTTCATCTCTCAAGGTATTTAACACAACTATAAGTACCTTTAATGATGAAAGAAATAGGAAGAATATTACTGAATGCAGGTATGCCTTTTTGGTGGACCAAAATTGGTTTGAAAAGAATCCTCAAAATGTTGAAAAAAGGACACACGTTCCTGTGGTATTGGACTGGGGGATACTCAATTCATCGTTTAATCTGTTTGCAACACAAAAACAGAAGGGATACAATTCAACATCTAGTTGTCAAATTTATGCAAACATTACCTCTTCTATTGCGAACTCTTCTAGTACTCAGTTTCCAGTGGTTCATTGTAACTGCAGAAAGGGCTACGAAGGAAATCCTTATCTTCTCAAAGGATGTCAAGGTAAACTTCTAACATCAATCTAGTTTATTTAATCCCAAACATATATAGGAAATTTAACCCATTATTTTATGATAATTTAAATGAATAAATGCATCTATTTATTTAGGATAATGCTTTATATACAAACTCTTATATACAAACTGATATGTTTTAATATGATTGAATGACTTTAAATTAAAAATAAATTAAATAATTAAAAGAGATTATATGACAAACATATAAGATTATCACATCAGTTTGTATATGTAATATTAATAATTGATTTATAATTTAAATAAGATGTTCTTTATTTATTTATTTTCAATAGGATAGAATTGGGTTCAAGTGTTTCATTTCTCCATTAATTTTTATATTTTTATTTATTGAAGTTTTGGTCCTAAGTTAGAATTTTTATATCATTACTCATTTTTTTCCACTCATGAATTTTATATTATTCCCTACCATTATGCTTTATGTATTAATTCTAAAGGCATTTGGTAAATGACAGATATTGATGAATGCAGTTCCAACAAAACGTGTGGGAATTTGTTTTGCGAAAACTTAGATGGAACATATCGTTGTTTCACATTACCCAGCAAAAGATCTAAGATTAACATGGTGGCGTTAGGTATGCTTAATTATTCTTTCAAGTTGGATAACAACATATATGAGTCAAACGGGTAAAAAATGTGAACGGGTAAGAAAATGCATCACCAGTATCCAGTCATGCTAGTATGGATGGCCTTGGGGGTCACCCGTTTCTTTTACATTTTTTTTAGTTTTCCTCTCCAATTTTTTCTTTTTAAGTTTTTTATCTCCACTTATTTTGTTATTATTTTCATCTCCACATATTTATCTGTCATCTTCGTCTTCTTCTTCTGTCTCTCTCCAATTCTTCTTGTCTTTTTCTCCCTCTTCACTTTTTCTTATTTCTTCTTCTTCTCCCTCTCTCCAATTCTTCTTCGTCTTTTTCTCCCTCCCCACTTATTCATAGTTTTTCTTCTTCAATTCGTCTTCTTCTTTTCTCCCCCGCCACTTTTTCATATTTCTTCTTCTTCAATCTTCACCCTTCCAATTCTTCTTTGTCTTCTTCTTCTCCTTCTCTCCTACTGAAAAAAGATTTAAGTTTTGTTCTTTGTGTCTCATTTTTCATTTTCCTTTTGTCTTTTATAAACTAAATATATTATAGATTTATAATCTCCATTGCCACCACCTGTGAGAGTAAGCATGTGTTGGTGCCATATTGTCTGACACCTCAGATAAATCCTTGACCGGCCCATTGTAAGGGCATTCCTAGATGTGGGGATCCATGTTGTCCTCAATCGAGCTAGATTGTGGCTCGATCCTACTGATCGCCATTGCCTGTTCGGGGATGCCAACTAGTATTCCTCTTCCCTTGCACGCCATCTACACTGCTCTTATATAGCAGTTGCGAGATTCGTGTTGAGAACTGCTTACTTCCCTTATCCTAGTCGGGGTGGGGAACTTCATTTTCAAATGGTAAATCGAGGTGACCGCCTTGAAGTTTCTCAGCAGAGGTCGTCCCATTGAAGGCGGATGGACAGTCTATTACAAAAAATTTTGTTATTTTGATCATTTTGTCGGTTTCCCCCAATATGACCGGGAGCGAGATAGTTCCCCTAGGAATCAGATGATCCCTGGTGAAACCATAAAAAGGGATGGACGCAAGCTTCAGGTCTGCCTCATCCAATTGCATTTTCTCGAATGCTCACTGAAATGGGATATTCACGGCGCTCCACATTGTCCAACAATATCCTGTGGACTTTATACCGGCCTATTTCAAGCGCGATGACGAGAGCATCTTCATGGGGATGATGCAATTGCACCACGTCTTTCTCAGAGAAGGTGATCTCCTCCTCTCTGTGAACCTTAGTGGGTCGCAGCGCCGTGCTCATGACACTCACGAGGTCATGGCGGGCTTTCTGAGCATACCCCTCATGGGCACCTTGAGAATCTCCTACGAGGTCTGGTCATCTGAAGATGGTTCCCACACAATAGAGTCCTTTGCGACCACGAAGCTTCTTCCCTGGTTCCTCTTGATCCTTCTCCCGAACGGGAGTTGGGCCATTAACGTATTCTTTGAAGTGCCCCTACTTGATGAAGTCTCCGATTGCCTGCTTGAGAGCTCGACACTCATCGGTGTTATGCCCATTATCTCTATGATATCGGTAATACTTTTTATTGTTTCTAGTTGAGGAGGGATTCTTCATGGGCTCTAGCTCTCCGAGCAAGCCAGCCTCCTCTAATTTATCCAGAATGGCTGATACCGAGGCGTTTAGAGGAGTGTATTGATTCTTGTTGCAATCGCGATGAGGAACCAGGGCATAAGATTTCTTAGGCTCAAACCACTGCTTCTTTCCTCTCCGCTGATCGTCATTAGCCCATATACGATTAGTCCTCTTATTCTCCCCCCGGTTGGGACCAGGGTCATGGCGATTGAGAGCGGCTACATAATTTTTAATTCGGAGGTGTCTTTCGGTGAGGTTGTAGAAGCGAATGAGGGAAACATCATCCTCTGATTACAGTTCCTTCCACAAATCTGTCTGCAGGCCAACTCCCATGATAATGAGAGTCCGAACGGACTCTTCGGGAGTATGAGCCACTTTGTGGAGTTCCTTGTGGAATCTGTCTATATAAGATTGGAGAGATTCATCCCCTTTCAACCGTATGTTGCTCAGATAGCTCAACGTCATTAAGAACTTCTTGTTCGCCTGGAAGTGTTTTAGGAATGACGAGCTCATTTGAGGCCATGAGCTGACTCATCCCGCGGGAAGCAACCTAAACTAGCGCTTGGCATGTGCAGTTAGAGTTACTGCCAAGCAACAACATTTTTCCAAGTCGGAGAGTTGGTGGAGTTCCATGAGGTTGTTGAACTCGTACAGGTGATCTTGCGGGTCTGAATTCCCATCGAATGCTTGCATGTCGGGCATTCTAAATCTCAATGGGAGAGGAGCAGCTAACATTGTTGGAGAAAAGGGAGACGCCTCTACGACCTTCCCATGCTCATTTTGTTGAGCCTTAAGCTGATCCAACGCTCATTGTAGTTCCTTAATCTGAGGCAACAGAGCTGCTTGGGGATCACTTTTCGCAACGTGGACCCTCACAGTTGTGGTTGAGGAAAGACGCAAATTGGGCTCTTCCTCGGGTCGGTTGGAAGCTCCGACAAACCTTGACACACGTTAATTGGAGTCGTGTGATGGCATTAAGTGATTCAGGGAATTTTCCAAATCTCTGCAGTGGTCTGAACCGACCTGCAGATGACAGGAATTTCCTGCATGATGATGGTCGAGGTCTTCATTTCAGAGATATTGGGAATCTCCCCGCCTTACACTTTTGTGGGAGTGCCCATACGAAATGGCGGGGGACAACTCATGCTATGGCATGTCGCCGAGTCGTAGTGCCATGGTATTCTACTGTGGTGGAAGCGGTGTTGGCTGGTCTCTCAGAGCCCTCCGGACAGTTGTTGCCACTTGCTTTCCCTTTCTTTTAACGCGCTTCAGTGTGCGCAGTATGGGCTTTCTCCCTTTTTCAAGTTTTCACGTGACCTGTAAGTGTTTTTGGTGGTGGCACCGCCTCATTGGATTCTGGCAGCATGACCTGATTCAAATGGTCTAGCCTTTGGCTAACTGTTTGGAGAGTATTATTAAACCTCTCCAGGTAACTCATGATGGCTAGGTCGAGCCGCGAGCTTGAGGGAATATTTGCCACAATACTCTACTAGACTGGCGGCACTTCAGGAGAAGTGTCTTCTTATACATGAGGGATTTCCTCATTGTCATAGTTGATTCACTCAGGTTCGAAACCATGAGCCATTTGTTGATTGGTATGACCGATTAGTCAAAGATTTTTTATGAAGAGCAGATACTAAATCAGGACCCTCCTTCTAGCGCCAAATTGTTGATGCTTGATTTTGATACCAACGACTCGCATGTGCAAAATGTTAAGCGGACTTAGAAATCACATGTGATAAAGAAAAAAGAAATGATGCAGTGAATAAGAAACGATATTTAAAGTGGTTCGGATGCTCAAAAGCGAATCATACGTCCATTGTTATTATATTAATATATGGCTAAGATCAGGTCGCGTGCAGCGAGCTAAGTTATAATCTAGAGATGATACAAAAAGAGAGAGAATGTGTGTGTAAGCTGTTTTAGACTAAGATTAGCCAATCTCGCAAATGAGAAGGGTGTCCTCTATTTATAGTGGGAGAGTTCAAGGTAATGATTATAAGTTTGCAAGTGGGTAGGTGCCGTGCAAATCCTTCTTTGCGTTCCGTTGGTGGTCTGCACGAGAAATATTCTCAAATTGTGCAAGGCTTGGGCAGGTGGCTAATTCCTAGCTACTCACAAGCCTGACACTCACCTACTGCACTGATAAGAACAATATCATTTGCGTTACTATGCGACGTGGTAGCGTTTGGACGACACAAAACCTTCCTGACCCTTGATTGGCTCTTACTGAAGAGAGTCCACGTCAGCCCTAACTTTTTAGGTATAACATATATATATAAGAAGTATCAGTCATCCATGGTAAAATTATATTGTTAAGAATAATATTATAATCATCATGGTTAATTTTCATACTTAAATCTCATAATATATATATAGTGAGTTCTTTAAGTATACAAACTATATATGGTGAGTTCTTTAAGTATACAAACTAACCATGATTCTCATTGTTCTTTTATTCCCAAAAACAATTTATCACTTCTCATTTGAAATGAATTGTACGCAGGTTTTGGCACAGGCCTTGGAAGCGTTTTTCTACTTTTGGGGGCATGGTGGTTATGCATCATAATAAAGAAAAGGAAGGATAGCAAGCTTAAACAGAAGTTTTTCAAACAGAATGGTGGTTTACTTTTACAACAACACTTAACTTCATCAGATGGCAGTGTTGATAGTAGCAAACTGTTCAACTCAAAAGAATTAGAAAAGGCCACGGACCATTTTAATGTGAATAGAATACTTGGTGAGGGAGGTCAAGGCACGGTATATAAAGGAATGTTATCAGATGGAAGAATAGTTGCTGTAAAGAAGTTTAAGGTAGTTGATGAAAGGAAGGTTCATGAATTCGTTAACGAGGTTGCCATTCTTTCCCAAATCAACCATAGAAATGTGGTTAAACTATTGGGATGTTGTTTGGAGACTGAGGTTCCTTTATTAGTATACGAATTCATCCCTAATGGAACCCTTTTTCAATATCTTTATCATCAAAATGAAGAACTTTCACTCACATGGGGTATGCGTTTGCGAATTGCAGTAGAAGTTGAAGGAGCTGTTTCTTATTTGCACTCGGCAGCTTCCTTACCAATTTATCATCGAGACATAAAATCAACCAATATTCTATTGGATGAAAAGTTCAAAGCAAAAGTAGCAGACTTTGGGACTTCAAAATCAATTTCTATTGATCAAACTCATGTGACAACAAAAGTACAGGGAACTTTTGGGTACTTGGACCCAGAGTTTTTTCAATCAGGTCAATTCACAGATAAAAGTGATGTTTATAGTTTTAGAGTAGTTCTTGTTGAGCTTTTGACCGGACAGAAGCCAACATCGTCAATGAGATCAAAAGAACGCGGAAGTTTGATTGCATATTTCATTACTTGTGTGGAGCAGAACTGTCTAAATAATATTATAGATGCACAAGTACTAAGCCAAGGCAGGAAAGAGGAGATCGTTGCAGTTGCTAACCTTGCGAAAAGATGTTTGAACCTAAATGGGAAGAAAAGACCTACAATGAAAGAAGTATCGATGGAGTTGGAAGGAATTCAAGCATGGCAAAAAGAAGTTGCGGTTGAGTTGGAAGGAGTTCAAGCATCACAAAAAGATGATGGTATGCAGCAAACTTATCAAGAGATTAAGTATGACAATACCGAAGTATTTGAGATTGCGGGTTGGGATGTTGGTTCTTCTTCTACATCTACTTTTGAACGTGTAGGTTCATCATCGGTAGACGTTCAACCACTATTAACTAGCTAGCACACCATAATATGTAAATTTGTGTATTGCAGTGCCTATTATACTTTCTGGTCATGTTGTGAAACAATTTAGGCCTTATGTTGTATTATGATACCACTTAATTTCAATAATCGTTCAAGACTTGCCATCTTTTGTGTATTCATTCTTTTTCTTTTATCTTAAAAAAGTATATTCCTGTATGTTTTAGTGAATAGGACTTGATATTATGAATGAGATATATTTTTGTTACAATTTTTTTTCTTTTAGAATTAAGTATAAAAATAAAGTTCTAGAATTAATGGATAAATGATAATTTCATTGTATATTTAAATTTGAGAGTATTTTTTATTAAACCTTTTTGTGTAAAGAACTTTTGGGTGAAAAAAGCTTGAAAGCTCTTCTGATTTTAAACATTGTCCGTTTGGTTTATTATTTATCCATATTCTATCCCTATTCCAAATACAAATGCACATTTGTTTCCTTATTTTCAAAATCATATCCTAAATTAAAAAACTTTTTAAATCCCCTAAGTTTGTTAATTGACAAAAACACCCCCAACAAAAAAATTTATAAATTAACAAAAACACCCCCACCCACCCATAGTTGTCAGATTCTGGCAACAACCGTAAGTGGTGACCGAAATCTATTACAACGGCTTACAAACGACTGGAATTGACCGGTAATTTGCCGATCTGACCTTTCCTGGAAAAGGCCAGATTTGGCCGTCGTTGACGGCTAACTCCTCGCCATCATTGACCATCAACAACGGTCATATCTTTGGCCGTCACTGATGGCCAGATCTGGCCGTAGATCTGGCCTTTTCCGACCAAATCCGTGATGGATCTAATAAAAAAAGGCTAGATCGACGCACGATCGGCTAGATCCTACCAATCTGCACCATAACGCCAGATTCTGACCAGGCTTCTACGGTGGTGGCCGGAATCTGGTACTGCGGGTGGGTGGGGGTGTTTTTGTCATTTTACAAAAAAATTATATATTGGGGTGTTTAGTTAAATTAGCAAACCTAGGGGTTTTTTGTTAATTTTTAAATTTTACCTCGTAATAATCATCCAACTCTATCTATCAATACTATTTCAAAAATCATATCCAAAATAATAAACCAAGCGGATCTTTATGTTTTGAATTGAAAAAAAAAAAAATGATCAATCTAACAAATAAAATAAATGCAAAATATTTTTATATGAAGATTTATTAATGCAGTTTAATGTATTAAAAGGTCAATTTATCATGCCTTAATATTTTTTCTTTTTTCCCTTCAAACATTAAAAATTGAAGATTGGGTTATCCCTACTTAAACAAACTCCTCGAGTATTGGTTTGTCAAAATAGAAGTGAAAGTTTTAGTAAACATAAATATTAATGTTGAATTCTTACCTATTAACTTAATTAAGTTTTGAAGCCAAGTGTTAACCATCTAAACAAATAATAAAAAAACTATGTTCCCATTTTTTCAAAATTCCTCTTACTGTTCTGTTAGAACTCTAAGAAATAATCCTAATAGCCCAACAACATTTATATGTTTGATTTTTGAGAGAATCACAAACCTCATCAATGAATTCATGAAGCTTTCCATCATCAACTATTTTATACTTTTACGCCACAATTCTTCCATCTGACAACGTTCCACAGTACTTTGGCCTCCTTCCCCAACAATTAGATTCACATTAAAATGGTCAGTGGCCTTATCTAAATCCTTCGAATTCATAAATCGTTGATCAATCCATGTATTTAGGCCCCTTCACACCCTCATATGAAACTTGGATTTTTTTCTTCTTCGTCTTCTTTTATCCAATTGATTGTGAGAATTAGAATTTAGACTTTTAGCTCCAATACCATGTTAAGTTGTCATCCTACGAAAAAACTAAATTTGTCCAATACTAATGAAATTAATGTACCCAAAAAATTAATATTTGGAGCATGTGAAAATAAATAATGCAACATGCACATTAATTAAATTAACCAGGAAGCATAACTCGAGTACAAGAGTTAAATCGGTAACTTGCAACTTTTTTTTTTTTTCTCTTTGCAATACTAAGCATATACATTAACTGCTATAATGAGCTCTCAGGCCCACACATAGACTTTTTAGTCAGTTAAGTCTAAGATCACATAGATGAAATATGTGGAATATGTGGTTGTGGTGGAATATCATAGAGATGGAATCTAAGAAGATATGCAAGGAATTATCATCATGGTTTCTGTAAATTTCTATGAGGGACGACCTCGTTTTGCATACTTGAAGTCAATAGAGCAAGAAGGTTTGAGAGAGTTAAGAATGATTCTACATTTTCTGTTTCCGATAATCTTTCTATCATGGCCAATGATCTTGAGGACACAAGCACCAGCATTAGCAAAGCCTAATTATCCATCCAAATGTGGAAACGTTACCATTCCATTTCCATTTGGAATTGGAAAGGGTTGTTATTGTTGGGATAATTCCTTGAATCTCGTATTGCTTGGAAAAGGGAGTTGCAAGAGACTCTCCCCTTTAAATGAACTAATAGATTGAGCTTTTAAAGTATCTTTAAAAGTGTAAGATAGACACCAAAAATTAGTCATTCTGAGTTATTATTAAGGGTCTAGTTGGACTTTTTGGGATAGTTTAAAGAGTTTGCAATTTTTCTCTTCTAAAAATTGCACAGTTGTAAGTTTTTGCTTCGTGGATTATAGGCTAAATTGATTGGGCCAAACCACTTTAAAATTCTTGTGTTTTGGTTTTCTTTATTTTTAGTTGCTTGCTTTAATTTTGCGTTTCAGTTATGGGAATCTTTTTTCAACAAGTGGTATCAGAGCCCACGGTTCGTATTTTGGGAGAAGCTACGCTTTAGAGGAAACCAGATTTAAGAGTAGATTGGCGACTGTCAGACATCTTAATTTCCTAGAGGTATGTCTAAATTTGAGGTTCTTTTATTTGATGGTAAAATTAATTTTATGTGATGACAAAGTACAATTCAATGAGAGAAGGGGTGGTAAAGAAGAAGAAGAAGAAATAAAGACAAGAAGAAAGCCTAGTGAACAATGAAAATGTAGCTCGAAGACAAAAGAAGAACATAGATTCATGAATGAAGGAGGAAAAAAGAATGAAATTAGATTTGATTTAGGGCTTTTTTAGTGGACCAAACTGGTTGAATCGGTGGTCTGACATTGTTACAACGGTCCAAAACGGTCCATTACTAAATCTGAGTTTTATTATTTGTTGAATCAAAGTTATGTCTGAAACCCGACCGGCAACGCAGCTCAAGATGTTATGAGCATGTCACACATTCCTATGGGTTTGGACTAGGGGATATCCAGTTCAACATTTTATTTGTTTGTAAAATATAAAAAATCAAGATATAAGTTCAAATCTAGCTGTAAACTTTATGCAAACTATTAGTAAATTAAGAATAACATTTATCCTAATTCAATCTCAAGATCATATCAAAAGTCGTTATTGCAATCACATTATGATAAATGAATTGTAATAATAGTTAATTATACTATAAATACCTCTTATCGATACTCAGGTAGTTCTTTAAATCACATGTATTGTTAGAATACAATCAGAGAATATTTTTCACTGTATTGTAATTAGGGAAGTTGTGTGTGGTAAATGCCAATTAATATTGTATACGGGTGGGTTCCATCATGGGTGTCTCACACATACCCAGTACAAACTTTACCTCTTCCCTGCCAACTCTTCTATGGTACTTCATTGTAAATGCAATCGGGACTTCAAAGGAAATCCTTATCTTCTCTTTGGATGTCAAGGTAAATTTCTAACGTTAATGTAGTGTATTAAATTCCGATGATATGAAAAACTTATTAAATAAAAAAACAAATTAACACATTACGATAGATTAAATGTATAAATAATCAACTTCAAATAGAAGTTATGAGGTCATTGTTAAAGTTTGTTTTGTTTTTTTTTCAAATTTCTTTACTTTTATATGAATAGATTTACATGGTACATGTGAAATGAAAAAAGAAAATGTTATATAATAAGTTTTAGTAATTATAAAAGTATATAGTAAATATTTTTTTCAAATTAAAAAAGTACGTTGAAGACGAGCCAGTAGGCGTAGTATTGGCCGCAGTCTTCACAGAAACGACACCAATACTAAATCATTAGAATAACTTAAAAATGTAGAGAATTTGGGAGGGAGGCTATGCATTAGCGAGAAGACTGATGTGAACTGTGTTAATGTATGGGTAATGAAAGAGTATGGAAAGGGAGAGTCTAGGTATAAATTGCACTCGTTTAAGATAATGGAAGATTGTTGGTTTCTTCATTATGGAAATTTGGCATTATCCAAGAATGGAGACAAACTCTTAGTTCAATTAAATCATGATGCTCTTCAATGGCATGACCTGAAGTTGAAGGAGGAAGCAAAAGATTACGTAGTTAGTTTTCCAGGTATTTTAAACGATGTTTACGTTGACAAGTGTTGTGAGAGTCTTGTTTCTCCATAGGGGATTTAAATGGTGGGCTCTGGTAACATGGGAGCTTTAGACTTGACAGTTTTCTCTTTCGGCCATTAGCTGTAGGACTTATTGAGTTTGGTTTTTGTTAAGTGGGCTTGACGATTTCAGTGTTATTATCATTTGGTTCATCTGAAACTTGGCGACAAGCTACATGAAATAGATTTCCAGAAATCCGCAGAAAAATTGTTGCTAAACTATCCGAAATGAGAAGCAAAACATATTATTATAATTAAGTTTATATCCTTCTTCACGTTCCATTTTATTTTCATGTAGATAATTATAGGTAATTAAACATTTATCTTATTCTTTGAGATTTTCTTTTTTCTTTTTATTTATTTTTAATAAATAATTTATAAATAAGGTTTAGATGAATATTCAAGATATTATAATTTAATCTATATATGAGATTTTTGACATCTCTATTTAGTTTGAGTTGTCTTTACAAAAAAAAGCAAGTATAAAATGAAGTTGCAGAATCACTTTTTCTTCAAAAGTAATTATTTTACAACCATTAAACCCATATGCTACAGCTACTTACAAATGGCACTTTATTCTTATTCTTTTATTTTACAAAGACTATCTCTTTATATTTTTCTCTTAAAAAAAAAAAAAAAAAGAGATTTAATTACAATTCAAACCCAAAATTACAACTCAAACAACCAAAGAATAATAAAGTCAATAATACACTCT